TCTCCAGCAGCTTCGGGCGTTGACCAACCGGGTGAGGATAAGAAGAGAAGTTGACCACCGGCCTGACTTTCCATCCGAGATTGCCAGCAAGTATGCGCAGTGAACTATGGAACAGATAAATGTGAAATCAATGTGATTGTCATCTCAAGGCGGCATAAGCATGATGATTGTCCATACAATACAAATAAACCTGTGCATTGACAGAGTGGGTCAATTTGTGACGGGCTACAACATACAGCCTGCAGCCCATCAATGCGACACTGCGTGCCACTGCCTCCAATGCACAGTCTTTTATTGCCCGCATCTTGCATCCGCCCTCTTCCCACCTATCTTCGTCCCAACTGAAAGTCTCGACTTCTTCGAGTTCGATACCTGCAGCATTGGAGCAGCAATTCTGGCTCAATTCTACTGCATCTGCAGGACATCGAAAGACGAGAGGAGCATGGCCTCTGAGTCCGGAGTCGATATCGTCAGCATCAACCGGAAGAGATGGTCTGCGATGTCTCAAGCCTGTGCAACATCCCACTTCTGTAAAAGACAAAGCTAATGGGTCCAGTTGGAAGGGATGGAGGCACCGTCAGGTCTACCTTTCCGCACAAAGGTTGCATGGGGAGCCACCAGAGCCGGATTGCTAAGGCTGTTTTGTCGTCGGACATCCCAGCAGGTTCAAACCCAGAGCGTACCGTGTCTTGTAAGTCAATCACAAGGGATCCGGAATTTTCGGGTCAAAGCAACGAAATTGGATGAGAATATCGGGGGGTGGATTTGTAGTCGTAGTCGCTTGTGCTGATATCGTAGTGTGTCTGTTTCAAGGACTTGAGTCATGATCGGATGGCGGCGGTGTTTCTGATAGTACAATTTCGATGGAAGTCGAAATCTAAACATCACATCAAAATCGAATCATCAGCCATTCTAGGACCAACTACCTGCAACGACGCATGGAAGTCATTTCTGCAAGGAGGCTCACCTGGCAGTGAATCGTGACTACCGCTTAGAGCACCACCACAGCCGATCAAGCGCATAGGGGCCGTCAAAGAGTAAACCTTCCGCAGGACTAGCGTTGCTCTCTCTTACACCTGATCATCTGGAACACAAACGTGCTCACTTCTCCCAGCTGTGATTTTGTCACTCGTGAAACTTCTCGTTCCCCGATATCAGCCTTAATCACATACCTTCCGAAACAGGATCATCCGTCCGCGCAATCGAGTATCTTCACTCTGATCAGGACGACAGAGACGCGTCAATCCATCGCCCAAAGCCTGATATCGCATGCATCGCGTTCTGCACAGAATCCATCAATATGGCCTAGCAATCTGGCTCTCAAACACTGAAAGTGATCCTCCACTGGGGCTGATCGCATACGGCTCTGGTTTCACCTGGGTGACCGATTGTTGACGTTTGTGGTAGCAGACTACATTGAAGATCCTAGTTATGAAGTCATTGTCAACGGCAGTCTTCCCATTTTCTAACCTCTCATTCAGATCGGGATAGTCGACATCAAGTAGCAGGAGTATGGAACTCATTGTGAACGCCACGCGTTGCTTGTCTGGCTTTCACTAACAATGGCCCGGCTATCATAATGAAGCAGAAGGCAGTACTCCGAGCATGATCGAAGAGCAGACTAGACAGTCGAGTGGAGCAATGATCTGAAGATTGAGCGAAGCATATCACGACGATTTTTGCCGCCGGGGGAACAATGGTGACCATCCAATTGCCCCCACTGAGCTCCCCAAGACACCGGTCCGCACGCAGATGTCAGACGAACCAAAGCCGGAATACGAACAGATAATCGTTATTGATAGTACCGATGGTCTGGGACCCAGTTCGTCGAGTGCTGCTGTGAACTCAAGGTTGATCTTCGATGCTTGGAAGACGTTCGTCCCAGACGGCGACTCCCTCTCCTTCAGATAGTCTCAATGGATCGAGCCGTCGACGAACCACTGAACGATAGAAGGAAATGTGGTCGAGTGGGGCTTCAACACGGGGTCCGGGAAAACAAAGTTGTGTCTCTCTGGTCTCTCTCTCTCTCGTCTCCGACCGGGAAGGGAAGGCGACTGTAAGTGATAAGGATGGTGGCCAGACCCTGCATCTGATTCTGCAGGTGGCTGATCCGGAGATTCCACCGCTAACGAGCTATACAGCGATTCAGGTCTGCATCACAGGGCATAGCTACATGAAATAATGGGTTCTGAGATAAGAGTTAAAGATCGATCTGAATAGTTCGAGACCCCAGTGCTTTAAGTTAACATTATGTTTATTTGCACCTGTGGTCCGGCCGGAGCCAAGAAAGCTATTGATTGCCTGCTGGTTGGGATGGCTGTCCGTGCCAAAGCCCTAACCAATGGCAACGCCGGCAGATGATCACCAACACGAGGTACTGTACCGCCAACAAGCAGCCAAAAGCCAAAAGACGAAAAACATGAGAGAATAAGACAGAGCCCAATGTGAGAGCTCATTCCGAATGCAGGGAGGAGAAGCCCCTCATCTCAATTTCCCCATCTCAACTCTCGGTTGTCTTTTGAGTCTGTACCTTATCCTCTCGGTCGGAGACGATGTCATCATTCCTTTGTCTATGAGTGCCTCAGATTCAGATACGAATCCCTGTTTCTTTATTCAATCTTGAGTGTTAAAACTCGCGGTCTCGCCAGCCGAAGGCTTTGTGCGACCTACACAGCCAGTTTTGACGACCTGCTCAGCCTTGTCTCACGGAATAAGAGGGAAATTGTTCTCTGTCTCTTCAGCCCCCTTTGTCTGCTGACCCCTCGCCACGACTCTTACAACTCATGCTGCTACTACATCTTGACTTTCCTTTTTGTTCTCGTCGTTAACTGCAAGCACCATCAAGATGTCCTATTACGGGGACGCATCGTCGATAACTTCGGCGGCGACGACTGCGGCGACGACGTCGACGGCAAGCCGCTCCTCCACCTCGTCAGCAACAACGGGCGTGGCGACACACACGGTCGAAGTTGGCTCCAAGACCTCTCCCCATGGGTATTCTCCGCATAATATCACCGCCAAAGTTGGCGACGTGATTGTATTCGAATTCTATCCTCGAAACCATTCAGTCGTGAAAGCCGACTACCTGGCGCCGTGCGTGCCTGCTAGCAAGTCCGTCTTCTACTCGGGAATCTTCAACAGTTTCAATGAAGATGATGGCGATTTGGTCGGACCGGTACTGCCTCTGATGTATTCTTTTCGAAACTTGTAACCTGACAATCATTTTGTGTTAGCCACCTACATGGTCTCTCGTTGTGAACGACACCGAGGTATGTTCTTGCCGCCCTCTAGCAGGACACAAGCGACCTATATGCGACAGCAAACTGATCCAAGGCACAGCCAACCTTCTTCTACTGCACAGCCATAGATTCCTGCCTTGTCAATGGCATGGTAGGCGTCATCAATCCTGTACGTCTCTCTTCCAACCCTCTTGTCTGTCTGACCACGTCAAACTGATTCACTCTCATAGAACGAAACGATGACCTGGGAAGCGCAATACGAGAAAGCAAAAACCTACCCCTACATGCTCGTCCCCGGGCAGTCCATGCCGGCCGAAGGCTCCATCCCCACCTCCAACAGCACCGCCAGCTCCAGTCCCTCTGCCTCCTCGTCTTCCGGATCCGGCGGCCTCAGCGGCGGCGCCATAGCCGGTATCGTCGTGGGCTCCGTCGCCTTCGTCGGCATCTTGGGCGCATTATTCTTCCTTTTGGGACGGAACAGGGTGTATCAGAAGTGGATGTCCTCACAGGACGGTCGCACGGAGCGGACGGCGAAGTGGGCGGCCATGTTGAGCCCCGGTCATGGTGGCGGGGACCAGGCGCAGAGCCAGGGACACGGACGGGGAAAGAGTGACTACGACGCGGGCGTCGCCGGGCTGGGGGTTGGCATGATGCAGACGGCTCCCGGACAGCCTCTCCAGCAGCAACAGCAGATGCAACAGCCGTACGGGGACTACGGTAATGCGCAGTCTCCCGGAACGGCGGTGTATGCGACCAGTCCGGATCTGTCGGGGTCACCGCCGCCTCAGAGTCAGGGGGGTCATTGGAGTTGGGATGCACAACAACAACAGCAGGTGTACCAAGAGCAGGGACACGGGCACCAGCCTGGGCATGTTTATTATGAGGCGATGGCGAGCGGGCCGTCGGAGTTGGAGGCTACGAGTAGGAAGTGAGAGTGTGGTGTAAATGAGCCGAACTACGTGAGCGAGGTGTTACCAGAACGTGCTTGACGTTGCATGATGCTGTGTTGTGTCTATACCCTTCTTGATCCAAACTGTCTGTAGGGGCTTCGGTCCGTCTCTTTCATTTGATTTTCCTTCTTTGTCACTTTTTTGGGAGTTACAAAGTATATAATATCGATAAGTCAACGGCACGAGCTGTGAGTTGTATGCAAACTGAGGCAACATCTCTCCCATCCACAAAAGTTGTTCAAACCACAGCCAGCAGGGCAGGAAATCTGTAGGCTGCACTCTATCCACGGTGAAACCAACCTATATTCCAGCGAACTATACCTTATTACTCCCTCACTTAATTAGCATCTCCTGATCCCGCGCCGATCCCGCCGAGTGGAGACGAAGTGGATAATCCCAAACGACGCCGTTGTAACAAGCTTAAATTACCCAAAATTTCCCCAGTCCAAAGAGCTTCTAGACTGGTCCGCCTGATGATTCCTGCCGTCTGCATCTTCCGTCTTCCGCCTTCACACACAACCCCGTCTTTCGGATGAGCCCACAATTCTAGAATCCAGAATCCCGCCCACGGAGGCTGATCCACATGAGCCCCTGGGTTTCGGTTTCGCCTCGATTCAGGACACGTACATCCCGGGGCCGGGAAGTGTCAGATAGAGAGTTGATCGATCGAATGGCAGTCTGATGGTGGGTTCGCGGAGAAGCAGGCATCTATATAAAGGCCTCCACCTCTCGCCCAACTCTTCTTTTCTTCTCAACAGCAACAGCAACAGCAACAGCAACAGCAACCTCCCGTCTGTATCGAATTGCCAAAATGGTCTCCGCCAACTCCCTCCTTTGCGTCGTCCTCAGCGCCGCCTCCCTGGCCGCCGCGACCCTCGACCCGGCCTCCACCAACACCAAGGGCAAATGTCCTGGCACTTATAACTGCTCTGGTACCTCCTGCCTCGCCTAAACATACTACCTCAAGCTTGACCTACACCCACGAATGCACCATGCTAACACAAGAGTGTGCAAAAAACAGCCAGCAAAGTCTCCACCGCCATCCAAGCCGCCGAGTGCTCGCACAACACCCGCACCTCAGGTACGTTTCCCCAAACCCCCACCCCCACCCCCAACAACCCCCTTACCTTTTAGAAAAAAAGAAGATTGACAACGAAAAAGGCACCCAAACCTTCGCCGTCTTCGTCACCGACCACGAGTACGACTCCTCGTACGGCGCCCCCTACGGCACCTGCAGCGCGTACACGTGCACGGCGCCCACGGACGCGGAGATGACCGACTCGGACTCGGATTGCTGGACGTTCTTCTGGAAGTATGTTGTCCCTTACCTTTCCTACCCTATATCCTGGAGCCCCGAACCTCCTGTGGGGGTTGGGGATTGTTCTGGGTAAGGATGTGGGCTAACATAGGCGAAACTGCAGCGACAACGGCGAGTCCTCTGGGGTCGGAACGGGGTGCATCAAGAGCCCGACTGATGGTACTTGCGGGTGTGAGGACTCGGATGGCACTTTTGTTTATGGTTCGGATAGCTGCACTTAGAGGTTATGTGTCTGGAATATGAGTGTGGGTGTTGGGTGTGGGGCTGTGGCGAGTTGATCTCGCCCCTTTGGGGGGGGGGGGGTTTAAGATTAGGTAGTGTACTGTATAACAAGCTGGAATATTGTTTGCAAGGTTGTCTTGGGATTGGGTTGAGTTTTGGATAGGTTGGTGCACTGTAAATGATCTCTCTCATTCTTTATCATTGCGTGTCCGCTCTGCACATAAACCAAATAAATTCTGCGTCGTGCAAATGGGTACTTCTTATACTACATTACACATAGACATACATCTAGACAAACAATTGGGGTCAAGAATGGTGGCAGGTTACCGCGTGCTCGCCCCCTTCTGCATGGCAGACAGATGCTCCCACGCCAGGGTATCCTCGCCCAGACTCCAGGCCATGATGCCGCCGACCTGCTCGGCGTCGACGATATCCGTGAATTTGCGGCCGATCAGGTCGCCCGTGTCCCAGCTCCAGAAGATGTTGATGCTGTCGTCGAAGTAGTACTGGCCGCCCATGGTGGCGTCGGTGGTGCCCTCGCTCAGGGCGCGGCGCCACGAGTCCGTGATCGAGATGCCCTTGCAGGTGCCGTAGTCGGAGAGGCAGCCCGCCTGGCAGAAGTCGTCGGTTGTACCGCTTTCGCCTTTCGTCAGTTCACATCCGAAGAGAGATCATGATACATCTGATGAAAACACAAGGGGGTCATACCAGTTCCCGTACTGACTGCAGCACTGGCCAGAAGGACACTTGGTCCCCTTGTCGAACCCACACGTGCCATCGGTGGACGTCTTCAGATTACCCGGGGCGGCGCTCATGGTGCTCTTCTCGAAGGTCAAGGCGCCGGACTTGCCGTTGTCCGAGCCGTCGGCGTTCTCCATGACGGCCGCCTTGCAGCCGATGGGGTTGGTCTTGCAGTCCGCGTTGGGGTCCGTGGTGAACCACTTGGCGTAGAAGGCGAACCCCAGGTTCATCTTGCTGCTTTCGAGGCCGATGGCCGCGTACGCCTTCAGCGTGGTGTGCGAGTCCACCACCGAGGTGTGGTGCATGGTCACGTTGTTGCGGCGGTTCATCAGGTCGTAGCTCATGATGTTGACCATGTCGACCGACGGCCAGATCTTGGGCCCGTTGGTCGGCGTGAACGCGATGAAGTCCTCCAGCTTGCCCGGCACGGCGATCGACAGCAGCTTGTTGGGCCCGATCGCGTCGCGGATCGCCTTCAGGAAGAGCGGGTAGTTGTCGATCTCCGGCACTTTTGCGGAGTTGGGCGTTTGGCGGTAGTCCTGGCCGTTGCCGCCGGGGTATTCCCAGTCGATATCTGTAAATGGGGTTTACCCACGGATTAGGGCTGTATAATCCAGAGGATTGGAGGAGGGAAGGGGGGAAGGGGGGCGGAGGGCAAATTACCAACGCCGTCCAGGCCCAAGTTGTTGATCATGGTTGCAACGTTCTTCGCATAGCGGGTGCGAGAAGCCTCGTCCTTGGATCCCTGCGAGAATCCAGACGTATCACCCCATCCGCCGATGGCAATCATGACCTTGGTGTCGGGGCCGAAGCGGTTGCGCATCGTCGACACGGACTCAAAGGGGGTGAACTGTGGGGGCGAATCGGAGTTGAACAGGGTCGAGGGTGCGAACGCCATGATCGCGTGTGTGATACCCTGGGTCTTGTCCTTGCCTGGCAGGTTGGCCGTATGGTATCTACTCGATTTTCAGTACGTGATGAGGCGAAGATAGCAGGCGGGCAGACTCACTGGTCGATATACATTGCCATCCGCAAGGCTGCCGCGCACTGAAGGCCCATCAGGGCCAGTGCGAGTCGTTTGAGCATGATCGTAAGTTCGTTCGTGTCCTGTCTCGTCGGGTTGTATTTGGGCGGTGGTGGTCGATGGGTGGTGGGTGTGCGCCCTGGACGGAATCAGGTGGACAGCGCGCGCAAAGTGACCGTCACCTGCTTTTTTGTGTCGCCGAGTGGGCCAGCAGGGGTAATTAACTGACAGCCTGGCGAGGATCCAGAAATAAACACATGGAGACAGCCCTCCATTCCGACCCGGGCATTTTGCTGCCTCCTGCCTAGACCTGGGGTTATCGCCCAGTCATGGGCATGCATTTGAAGAATTTCCCGAGTCCACAGCAGACTCCCAATGACGGGTTGAATGGGATGATTAAAGTGTGCCATGGTAGATACGGTATGGAGGTTGCTCCATGCCTGCACCTTGGATGGGATTCTTCTTTGCGTCACGGCCGGGATTGCTGCGGTGTTGATTGCTGGCAGCTCCAGTTGGCCAGCATTCCCGCCGACATTCCGTAAAACAAGCATGCCTCAACCGCCTCCCGGCACTGCGCTTTGTTCAATTCTGAAACAATTACACAAGTTAGGGATGCAGGAGGCTATCGAAGCCAATTCATTGTCTTTCCTTGGCCTCGTACAGTAGACTCATGTCAGATCTTACACGGGGGGAAGTTAAGATGTTAATTTCACGGTTCAAATCCATGTTCATATGACAAGCGCTAGATTCAAAGTCTTAATACTGTATGGGTATCTTGTAAAAGTATTTCTCAAGCTGAAGTCGTCCACACGACTGGCAACTGGGCTGCGCTGCAAATCCTTAATCCCAGTGTCGTCGGATAATCGGTCGGGCTGGATCCCACGGCCCAGTCACCACATTCTTATACTTCTGGAGGCTGATCAGCCACCAGCTACATCCTCCCATAGTCAGCGCCGTCAGGATACTCCCTAAAATGGAACCGACCACAAACGCCGCCCATCCGCCACGCAGGGTGATGCCTACGGCACCGCCAGCGAAGAGCACCAACGCCAGCGTCAGCAGAACATGGCCGGTCCAGGACACATGACGCAGCTGCCGTCGGAAAATGGGAAACAACCCAAAGACCTCCATTGAGAAGAGCATCAAGCTAAACACATGGGTGGTGGATGGCAGTCGAGACGCTAACACGGTGGAAGCCATCACGGCGGCGTTGGTAGACAGGGAAGCCGGGAATTTGGTGGCGCCTGCGCCCTCCCCGCTTCCGTAGTCAAAGGAGAAGATATTCATGATCAGCAGCCAGCAGCTCATGGCCCAGATCGAATCGCTGGCGGTCGATTTGGTAAGCGACTTTAAGATGGGACTCAGTGCGAGCAAAGAGAAGTAGATCAGGAAAGCCGACTTGACGGTAGAAAGCCGTTGGCGGTTCCTCGAGGAGAACATCGGCGACATGTCCGCCTCGGACGACAAGCCACCCAGCGGACCACTCACAGGGCCAGATAGGGGAGACACTGGTTCCTGTCCGCTGCCATCGACATCCCCACCGCTTCCCATGCTCTGTCGGTGGGCTGGCTCACTGGATTCATTTTGTGCCATGGACAATCCCAGCCCATGGACCTGGTTCTCCTTCTGCCCGCAGGGACGCGAACTAGCGGTACCGGTCGACGGGTTGACAGAGCTAGTCATGGAACTCGAACTCGATCCGTCATCACCTTCTGGTGATGCTCGCTCAGCGACCTGCACACTCTCCACATGTTCCCGCAGAATCCAAGAATCCCAGAAGATCCAACCCAAGGCAGTCCCGACACTGCCCCAGCACACCACCGAGACAGGGCTCACGCGGCCCTGCACAATGCCAACGAAACAGCATACGAAGATCGCTACCGAGCATACATGTTGTACGATAACCGTGGAGTCGGCCACGAGAGGCCAGAAGTCGTAAGGGCGTACTCGAGGATTGCGCTGCAGATGGTCCAGGAAGGTCTCTGTATCCGTGTAGTTGTCGGGATCTGGGTGTCTCGATTAGTAGCTTACACCAAGAACCGAAAGAACTCATAGGTCATCTCGCGATTCAATCTTACAGGACTGTTTCACCCAGAGTAGCTTTTTCCAGGCGCCCTTTCGTCTCCTCCGGCGGCTGGTCCCCCGCAGCTTTTGTACCTCCTTTCGGCCACCACCACCGGCTCCTGGCACGGCCGGCGGCGATCGCAACGCTGCCACAGCGTTGGGGTTCAACACGCGCATGGAGTGGTCAGAGTGGGCCGGGGTAGGCCGCGCGCGCGGCAGCGAAGAGGTGTAGTATGCATCTTCAGGGGCGAGCCGGGTGGGATCCGGGAGGGCTCGTTGCTCTTTCAGGCCGACGCTGCGGTTCGGATGGGTTTCGACGGGCACCGGGGGCGGAACGGGAGGAGGCGAATCGGACAGCGAAGGCATCGAGCAGGACCCGGACTCATGCTTGAAGCATGATGCGATACGAACGAGATAGATAGAGCTGAAGTTAGGATAGAATCACCTGAGCTGGAATCCCCCCCCGTTGGTGACGCGAATCGCCAAATCCGGCACGCCGCCCACGTGGGATTAGTCAGCCATCTACTGAGCTTGACTATGTACTGTACAACTACCCAGCAGTAAGTTATGCTGTCACCTAATTGCGGTCCAGGAAGCAGGTATTAAGTTGAAGGATCACTCAGTACTGATGAGCAATGGGATTCTTACTAAAGGCTTATACACGGCCATATTAGTGCCTGGTCCCTGCATAGTTGTCACTGTACTGATCAAGTCTCAGTCCATGTCCGTAAACAGCGACTTTACTGTACAATATACATCATTTTCTACTGGCTCCGTGTCCTGCTCACCAATTATAATAAGTGCGCCACCGATAAGTCAAAGTCTGGTTTGCGAACTTTGGATGTGCTATACAAGCCTAGGTGCTTGTTGAGTGCACTTTGTTGATCTATACTACAAGTGTCAAAGCAATGCTCTTGTGGACATAGTGTGGAAGCCTAGCGCACCTCTTCCTGTCAAATCACTCGCTACACTGTGACCTACGTTAGGAGTATAGGGGTATAGACGAGGATCCGATTGTGTCATTACCAAAATACTCGTTCACTGTCTTCGACCACCTAATAAATATCTAGTCACATGCTAAATCTACATTGGTATCTCCCAACATATCGCAGGTGGTTCCTCCGCGGGGTTGCCCATTAAGATAAGAATCCAATGAAAAGCAAACGCAAATCGCGCTACAGTACAGGTACATGTCACCTAACGCGTGATCGCGCACTCTTTGTTTGACCAGTCGATGCCCATCCAATCCCCACGAAGGCGTTTTCTCCTACTCTCTCACAATTTTCTGTGCCTGTGAAAATAAGAAATCAATCCACCCACCGAGGCATCATCGAAGCCAGCTTTGTGATTCGATTCCTTTTACTCGAGTACTGTAACTACCAGCGGTGAACAAACAAATATGTCGAGCTCCGAGTGGTCAGCGGCAGTTCCACCTCATTTTTGATTCGCCTTCTCCTTTTTATGAGGAGGTACTTTTTTGTAGCTTTGGAAGGGAAATCAAAGTCAAGCTAACCGAGTTTCATGTGCTCCCAAATCTCCAGGAGGTCGACCGTTCTCTACCCCAACATTCTCAACTCCCGATCCAACTCCTACGAGGTCGAGGAGTCCGATGCGAAAGGGCCGGCTACCCTCAACGAGCAGCACAGCCGCCGATCTGCCTCGTCAACGCCGCTGTCATCCTACGACTCGGGGCCCGACATCCCGTTCCACGCTGCTACTACATCTACTCCTACCGTCACTCGTCATAGCCATAGCCCCGTGACGGCAGCACCTAACAACAAACCCACCGCGGACCCCCCCAACTACGACAACACCGACACCGACACCGACACCGACACCGACATCCCAAACCCGTTCTCCATCAGCTCCAAGCCCATTAAGGGCCCCCCGATCCCGTTCCCCCGATACCTGCAAGCGGAGATCGCCAAATGGCACGAAGCCACCCGGGGCCAGCGGCGGAAGAAGCGCCCGCCGTTCTCCTACCGGGGCGAAGGGGTGATCCGGGAGTACAAGGTCTTCGACCGCACCGGCCAAGAGCTGCAGCTCTGCCAGTATCCCCTGAAGAGTCCGCGGACCAACGTGCTGGTGGCGTATGAGGCGACGGCGGCGGCGGGGGCAGGCCCCCCGCGGACGGGTTCAGATTCCGAGTCATCTGCAGCGTCCGCATCCGCACCACCAGGAGGGAAGATCGTGGTCTGCAGCCTGCCCCACTCGAGCCCGTTCGGCACGTTTCTGAGACAATGGACGCCCGCCGAGCAAGATCCCCCGCCGCCGTCGTGCGCGGTGCGCGTCTGGCGGATGAAGCCCGGGCAGGAGATCGTCTACAACCCGGCCGCGTGGGAGTTCATCGATGGCTGGAGGGAGAGGGGGCGGCAGCAAGAAGGAAGAGCTATGGCCCCAGCTGATGTTCGCCAACGGCCGCAGGAGAGGAGAGTTAGTGAATGGGCCGTGCCTGCCAGGTCGGCGAGATCGAAGTCTGCGCAGCAGCAGCAGCAGCAGCAGCAACAACAACAAAAAGTGGTCGCGAACACAACTCGTGTGGCCAGTATCTCCTCAGACAGAGATTCCTCCCCTCTGTCCGAGGTGGGGGACGACACGGACGAGGAGTTATCCTCGGTGAGTGAGCCTATCCAGCAGACCAGAAGAGTTCCGAAGAGACAACAACAACCTGTCCCAACGTCGTCGTCATCGCCACCAGTCCCGAAACGGCGCAAGACGAATCATGCGGACCCACTGTCCTTGCGCAAAGTGACCGGCGGCCTGGTGTTTGTGCTGTGCTCGGAGGACAAGCCCAAACGGTTCGTCATTGTGGCCACATGCAACACGGTGGATGATCTCTTCGCGCAGGCCCTCGACTTCTTTCGCCTACACTACAAGCTCACGGAGCTCAAGTATCTGTGTTGCGAGACGGAGGCGCACGGCGAGGTGTGGCTTCCGCGGGGTGGTCATGATGAGTTTGATTATATGGTCTGGGTGGCCTTGGACAGCTTAAAAGGGAAGGACAATGTTCCAGCTGTGGAGATCAAGGTCAGACCGGTTATTATACCTTGATTCCGGGTGGGTGGGAGGGGGAGAAAGGAGAATAGCACGGCTCTTGCTGGCGCCTTCTTGAACATATCTTTGTCACACCCGTACGGATGCTTGAGAATAGACCGGTCCATCCGGGATCTAC